GGTTACCGGGACTCCGGCTCGAAGTGCAGGAGTAGAAACGGGGTGGTTTTCAGTCAGTAAGAGTCTGACACTCCCTCCCGCCTCACCCAGGCGGGTGCAGAGATACGATGATTTTTCACCCCTTAATAAAAAAAAACCTCTTACTCCTAGGTGGTCAAGTTTTTTTTCTGGATGGGAAGAATAAATAATGTGTCGAATGCCTTTGCTAAGTCCAGAACAGATACACGGCTATTGTTATATATTATCCTTACTAATATTATAAATCGGAAAGTGAGTTTGTTTGTTTGTTTGTTTGTTCCGCCTTCACGCCGTAACTACTAAACCGATTGCTTTGAATTTTTGCAGACGTAAAGTTAGAAGTCCGGATTAAATAATAGGGTACTTTTTATCCCGGAAAAATTTGATATTCCCGAGGGAAAACAAAAGTATTGGTATAGATGGCGCTGTATGTATTGGTATATGTCACATAGGCTACTTTTTATCCTTTTGTGACGCGAGCGAAGCCGCGGGTAAAAGCTAGTATATATATAATTCTTCTGTGAGTTTGTATGTCACTGAACTTCTCTCAAACGACTGGACGGATTTTGATGAAATTTTTTGTGTGTGTTCAAGGGGATCTGGGAATGGTTTAGATTCACAAATCAGCCCGGCAGATAGCGCTGCAGTCGGTATTATGTTATTTATCTATACCTATTATTATTACATTATATGCAGGACAACGTCTGTCGGGTCCGCTAATATATATATACATATATATATTTGTGGCGCGCGTTCACACCTTTTGGCTCGCTTAAGGACGACGTCACCGAGTCGGCCCAAATCCACATGATATACGGACATCTTCATAATAAAATAAGGAAAAGGCTACGCAGGGAAGAATGCCATAATTTCTTTGAGCTACCACGCCTGGCCCGTAACAGAGAACATTTTTTTGACGGAATAACTGCCACCGTGTCTCTGACGCCATCGACTTCGCCTTCAACAATTGTCGTGAGTTACAAGCACTGATATGATAAGACTATGGATATGAAGCAACTACGAAAAAACGTGCCTACGTAAACTTCACTTGGTCATCTGTAATGGCGGATAGAACTAGGGATGTGACTATTGAAACTGTAGAAGTATCGATATTTTGGTATTGGTTTTAGTTGATTTATCGATAACATACCATTATTTTATGATTCATCTGAATTTGATTTTTATCTAGCTACTAAACATTACTAAAAATATTAGCGAAATATGTTTAGCAGTTACTGCGTGCACTGTCACTCCGGTCGATCGTGTCCATACATTCACATTATACCTTTCACGATACATATGTATCGTAATTTACGAAAAGGATTTACCATCGACTAGTCAGCATTTACATTCTTAAGGTTAAGTAATTTTTGAGGGCTGAAAAATAAAACTGTTTCAAAGTATTCATAAAACCAAGATTTATAATATAGTTACAATATCTTTGTATTTTTCGTATTATTTCCCTGTATTGTAATCTCCAAAACCATCTTTCGAGACGACTCCAGAGCTGGTTCCAAGTTCATTTTCATGCACAGATCTGGCTAGAGGCTGCAACATAAATATACGTATAATTACTATAATTTAACTTACTTGATCCAATCGAACAGAGATTATCTCTAAAGATTCTATAGATACTGTACTAAGCTCTGAATGAAAATGTTTGTACATTAAAATGATAGTGATAGATAGCGGAGGAGTTATATTTCATTTGTTTGCTTCATTTGAGTCCCTCGAGCAGTATTTGATAAAAATACAATTTTGAAAAAATTGCTTTTCCCACAAGAATTTTACGTATCTTATATTGTACAAAAATTATTCATCTATTGTATTATTTATAACATTACGTAGGTATTGATTATGGTGGAATATTGTCGATAAAATGAAATTTTTGACGAGTATTTAATGTTTTTGCATTTTGTCATTATGACAAATTAATGCACTTTATCATTCAGAATTTAGAATAGTTTTTGTTCTACTTGTACGATAAAATTATCGATACAGGAACAAACATCTACATCACTATTTTTCAATGAAAAAAGTTTTAGACGTATTTCAACTAAAATTAATGAAAATAAGCACTGCATTAGTTAGAAAAGTATTGTATTTAGTTAATTTGCAGCAAGCGCACTTGAATAGTTTAAAAAACAGAGATATTTTAATGAAAAATAACAGTACTTACCGATGTAATGTTACACCTGCCGGTTTAGTGATATTTTTAGTGCTACATCCAATAACACTACACCCGGGCATAGTTCTTCTCACTAACCAATAATTTCTTTGTTTACCACGCACAAAAATAACAGGAATTCTACAAATTTTCGTAACAAAATATTATTGACCAATGTTTTGACAGCTGATGTACCACTGACATGCACTGATAACGGGGACCAAGATGGCGAATTCGGCAGAACTAGGTATTTTTGATGACGTCAAACAATTCTTGCCAGAATGACAATAATGTGTTGTCTCTTTCTGCATAAGCAAAGAAACATAAGTAAAAAAGAAACAACAGTATGTTTATGAATTTACCGTCGAGATGGATCTTAAATTCTACCCGTAGACAATAGTCACACATCTATGTTATATATCTATGGTTACAAGCCATGCAATCAGGTGAGAGCGATAAATCCACCAAAAGTTTTTATTCCGTCCAAGTTGACATTAGGAACGCACGGCTTGGTCTATTTCCACGTGGACAAAAAAAAATATTTCCACTAATATTTTTTTTCTGAAAATGCTTATAAAAATGTACTTACCTACTTTGCGGTACAACAATATTATTTAAATACTCAGGCGCCAAAACTACTTATTTATTTATTTATTTAACAACTTTGGAAGACTAACAGCTAACAAAACAAAAATTAAGAAATTGTGTGAGAGTCTGACAGCTTCTTATATCACAAAATGCTCTCTAGACATACATTTTACAAAATTGTGAATACCTACATAGTTAAATTTGTAGTTAACGTTTTTCTTGTTATAAACATATACAGGAAAAAGAGATATTGTAAAAAAACTGTTTTTAGCCCACATTTATCCAAGATAGCGCGCGGCGCATGTACAAAGGTGCTAAATGGAAATCTCAAAGAGCACATCAAAATCTACAATTTCGGCGATTTTCAAAGCACCCCGAAATCTTTCCAGGTCACCCTCATTGCCCTCATATTTCCTCCATAATGATCGAATTAAACATGTATCTAGCAAATGCAATTAATTCTATTGCTTCGCGCCAATAATTTAACAACACGTTCTTTAATAGAAAGTTGACCTTTTTAAGTTTTTTGCACCATAGACAAGTATACAACTCTATGAACCATTTCTGCTTAACACTCTAAGCGGCTTGGCAAGTGAAGAATCATCGGCGGAGATCATGGCGAAGAGATCGGCGATAACTCGTCAGTTGTGCAGAAAAGGAAGCGTTACGTCCATTCTCATTAGTAGAGTTATATATCTCTAACGATGCTTCTTCACTTGCCAAGCCGCCGCGAAGGAGATCGTGTGATAACCGCTGATGACTCTATCAGAACATCAGGTCATATGGCCATCAATCGCACGGTCGGTAGGTGGTACAAGGTGGGTAGTAAGTACTTCAATAATAATAAATAATTTTTGCCGTTTAGTTTTTCTTCCTCGACTGAAACAACTTTAAGTTTATTAAATATTTATTGACATTAAATGCATTTTGGTTTCGTTTTACATTATAATACAATAGTATTATTCTATACAGTTTAAATAGAAGAGTGAAGCCAGCGACGCACAGGAGCTCGAGCGCCGCGCGTGACTCGGTCGGTAACAATGATATCGTCGTAAGCTCGGAACTCGATATTGCTACGGTACAAATGTACGTTGTTCTGTTATAAGAGTAACTAATTAAATAGAATATTAAACTAAATCTGCCTTTTTACAGTAAAATACAAGCGCACAGAAGCACGTTTGATTAAGGATCGCTTCATGTGTATAGGTACATGTGAATAATTTAATTTACAATAATTACACTACCAGTGGCAGAACATCGGCCCGTCACGCAACATCTGTAATACTGCACCAATGCTGTAGGGCCTGGTACGTCAGTGCCGCCATGTTGTACAAACACTGTCCACATACAATACCGCCGCTGGACGCTGCGTGCGGTCTCAAGTGAGTCACACTGCACACTGCACGCGATACAAACAAGTTTTGGTAACATTTGCCCAGTCGTCCTAGCGGCTGCAGATTGGTGGCTAACTGCTATAAAAGGAACATATTGACAATCGCAACACAAGTAATTTGGGAGTGCACGGGGCACGTAGTCTCTAGTACACAAGTTGTATAATGTTGTCTTATGTCGAGTCAGAGTCAGACAACGAGTCAAACTACGGCTTGTACGAGTGCCGCGGCCACCAGACGCGTCCAAAGCTGTGGCCGCCGAGCTCCCCGGCACATGTCACACACTTGCAAGCTACACAATTAGATTATTTACAAAAGAAATTTTTTGGTACAACACAAGTATTTGTATACGCTAGGTTCATTCAGCTGACTGTGTGCAGGTCCCACGGACAAGTCGATATATCAGTTACACGACATGTACTGGTGAGAAACTCGACATCGCACAACTTGCATGATCCTTTGGAAGCCCGCAAGAGGATTCCCGAATTCCTACAGAAACAGAAACATGTTTAATGCGCCGTCGGAGTGGCAGTGGCTCCCACAGTACTACCAAAACATATTTGCGCGTCATGCTCAGCTTACACAGCGGACAAGTGGACGACTCACTCGAAGGAAGCTGCGGTTCTTATAAATAATATTTATTCTAACCTTAAATATATTGGTTCGTGTTTGTATCACAGAGAACACGACACATCGTACTAAACGAACGCACAGTACAGTGAGGCTTCCAAACGAATACAATCGTACATTAAATTATTAGTAAAAACGATACAAATATAAAACGTTATCACAAGAATCGTATTCTTGCAGTCGCGCGTACGGGGCACCAGGGCGAGCTACACGTAGTGCTGGTCGCGCAGCAGACGCTCGTCCTCCGGCGGCTCGGCCTCGGCGTCGTCCGGCTCGCGCAGGTCGGCCAGGCCGGCGGCCGCCCAGTCCCGCGGCCGCGCGCCCAGCGGCCCGCAGCCGCAGCCGAACAGCTCGGCGCAGTTGTGCAGCGGGCCGCGCGTGAAGGGCGAGCGCCCGCCGCGCGCCACGAAGTGACGGTAGCGGCCGCGGTTCAGCTGCTCGTTGGTGGTCATGCCCAGGCACACCACCAGGTACAGCTGGCAGCCCGTCAGCACCGTCACCCAGAACAGGTGGAAGCACGCATTCAGCAACACCCAGGCCAGCCACGGGTTGCAGCGCGCCCACTGCATCACGACGCCCGGCGCCGTCGGGTCGGCCGCGGGGCACTCGGCGCTGAAGTACTGCGCCGCGCCCCAGATCATCCAGGCGCACATGACGAGCAGGCTGACCAGGAACCCGATGAAGTAGCGGTGGTTGTTGGCGCCGATGCAGTTGCCCACCCAGGGACAGTGGTGGTCGAACTTGGCGACGCAGCGGTTGCAGACGGAGCAGTGCTTGGAGCGCAGTGGGCGACGCACGAGGCAGGCGGAGCAGAAGCGCGCCGGCTCGAAGCCGCCGCGCGCCGACTCGGACAGCTCGATGATGGTGCGCAGCTTGTCGGCGCGCGAGGCGCGGATGACGCCGGGGTCGGAGCGCCAGGAGCGCAGGAACGAGTACCAGAGCGCGCACGAGCTGAGCGCGAACAGCAGCGTGGCGCCGGCGCCGACGACGCCCGCGATGAACACGGCCCACGTGATGTAGAACCACACCTGCGTCACGACCATAGCGTCAACTCTATTAACGGTCAGGTGTAAATGTGATGTAACGTTACAAATGTTATTTTTATCTCATTATTTCTCCTATTATTCTCTATTCTCTATATAACATCACGCCTGTTATCCCCGAAAGGGTAGGCAGAGGTGCACACAGAAGTAACACGCACTTTTCACTATTTATTTTTTGAGACCCATGTAATAGGGGGTGAGCCTATTGCCATATACCGGGCACAATTCCAGACTCCGTGCTACTATTGAGATTTTTTTTTAAAAACCCAGTTGTACTTTGCCCGACCCGGGAATCGAACCCGAGACCCCTTGCCCGGTAGTCGCACTTGCGACCACTCGGCCAACGAGGCAGTCAACCAAGACAACCCAATGTATGTTCAGCGAAAATGTACGGTTTCAAAATTATACCACATTTTCGGAAATATCGAAAATCAATATTTTGACTACTTACTACATTTGACTATATAATGTCTAAATAGAGTGTCAGTTCACGAAAAGCGTCACAAAAATTTGCAGTCAACTGTACACTGCAATACACTTTCCCGTCAAGTAGTACCAATCGTGTCACCTAGGCGTCACTACATGCATGCGCGCTACAAAATAAATTTGTAAACAAGAAAGTACACTGCAAAGATGGCCACATGCTCCATAAAATTGTGCTAAAATTATAAATGACGGTTAAAAAGTCCTAAACAGATCACTTATCCATCGCTGAGTAGATAATAAAAAAAACGGTGTAAGTATCAAGTTATGGTAACTAGTTTTTGGGAGGTTCTTTCTTCTTCTATAATCAATAACTTTAATACAATTTTCAGAGCAAATAAACCTCCTTTTATACGGCTCTACAGCTTGATACACCACTTTCATATTTTGAACTTAAACATCTTAGTACCCACAAATTTTAACGTAATTTGATACCAGAAAGAATTCTTTTAGTATTCATATCATATCAACGTACCAAAAAATAAATCTTTGTACGCTTTACGACCCCTATGATAGAGATCGAATTTCGCAAATCGTTTTATATCAGACGCCTACGTCATACAATCGCATAATAAGTTTTATAGTTTATCGCGAACAGACAAGACGCGGCGCGGTCGCCACGCCGTCTAGTTGGGGTCTCATTCTGCATAATAAAATAACCCTGGGCCGACTGTGACACTGGTATATTTGTGGGATTATGACGGCATTACCTTGGTCGCAAGATACACGCTGAGCGGAAATATGTTCTTGAGGTCGTCATCGAAGAGCAAGTTGCTGAGGAAGTGCAGCGCGACGTAGAAGCTGACGAGCATGAAGGCTTTCACCAGGTAGAGCGCGTCCATCTCCAGCACCAGCCCGGTGAGGTAGAAGGCTACGAAGGGCATCACCACCACGCACCACCACCGGAACTTCTGTCGGTAACAATGACAATGTGCTGTACCAGCGGAAGGTCCGTAGCGCCGCACTGCCGCACTCGCACCTTACCTTATCGTATGTTAATCTTCTAAGTAGATTATGTTTGTTTGCAGCTAGCGAGTGTTCTTTAATTTTGTCGGACACTTTGGAACCCACCCATAGGGAGTCGGCATTGGCCTGCAGCATCGCCAAAGGAGTCACTCCTCGCAGGTTGGGCACGTCCAGACTGGCGTCTCCCTACAACATCATAATATTACCTATGGAGTAGCTGAAACAGTTAGTTATACGAACCATACAATTGGCCACAGCCTTTATATTTCCTTCATGGTCATACATAGCCAACAAAACCTTCTAATATTATAAACTAGCTTCTGCCCGCGACTTCGTACGTGCAATCCTGTTTTCTCCCGTTCCCGGGGGATTTTCAGGATTTATTCTGTCATGAGAACCTTCTCCTGAATCAGTCAAATCGTTCTAGCCATTCACACGTGATGCCTTACCGAGGGAAAAGGGGATTCATTTTTATATATATAGACTAGCTTCTACCAGCGGCTTCGCCGGCGTTCACGTGAGATAAAAAGTAGCGTATGTATTATACCAGACCATAATCTACCCTTGTCCCACATTACATTCCAAGCCCTTCAGCTGTTTTGACATGAAGGAGTAACAAACAAACATGCGAAGTTACGCATTTATAATATTAGTACGATTAGTACAAAGTAACGATGTGAAAGTTTGTGATCACGTAAGTTTATCTTTCACGCAAAAAATTGTGAATAGATTTCAATGAAAGGAAAATGCCCAAAATTGCATAGAGCCAAAACTCAGAATCGATTACTCAGAATAACTTATGTGTGGCAATGTAGTCCTACATAATATGTGTATGTAGATACTTATACTATTTTTACTGGTTTGATAAATACATTTTAATGCACTTTGTGGTATTTTAAATGGGACAAGCCCGCCAGAACCACCCAAAAACCGTTGCAACTCCTGTAAGCCAGATACAGGAGATACAACCATGAAAACACTGGAACACTGAAGTCCGGCGCGTCTCAGGGACATGAATAACTGTCTTGGTCCCCCAACGACTTCCTTGGGGGACCAAGATCTTCTGATTCACTTGAATCAGAAGATATTATAAGAGGATAAGAAAAAAAATCTGACAATAATCTTGGAAAATCTTGCCCTCGTACTTATGATCTATATAATGTTGTTCATAAAAGAATTATTAGAGAGATTAATATATAAAGAGTTTTTTGGACCCTCCTTTAGTTTAAAGAAAAATTGTTATATAGTATTACAGTATTTATAGTCTAATCAGCTATACTCAAACTGCGCGCCATTTTGATCCGTTGTATTTTAAATCTATATATATATAAAGTAAATACATCATCACCTTTGATTTCCATTTCATTATTGATGTAATAATTCATCGCTTGGATCCCATGACTAAAATGTTTTTTGGCCCTAGTAAGAAAGGTTGAGTATGGCTGGCCTAGATTAACAAATGGTGTACTTTTATTCTGGACCTAATAACAAGGGATGCATGCGAGGCCACTCGCGCTGAACCACTAAAATGAATGGTACATTTTCCGCCAGGCGGCGCTGCAACGTAAACAGTGATATCTAAAGTGCTCCGGTTAAATTAAAGTTTAAAAATATAAAAAGTGCTCAGTGGACAGTGAATATAGAACAGTAGTGATATACGACCTAAGAACCTAGCTCTGCAGTGCTATCAGCCACATTAGTAGTGAAATAAATGTAGAAACTATATCAGAGATAACATTGCACTCGCCTACTATTTAAAGGAGGCTATAATAAGTATATCAATCAGCAATTAGCGAATACATAAGTGCACAAACAATACATAATACAAATACATAAGTGATTTAAATTCAATCGTTTACACTGGTGCAAACAAAGGAATAAAAAGCTGAACTTTGTTCTAAAATCAACATTAGTAGGTAAAAGACGGTGCAAGAATATTTTTTATAAACAACAAGAATGTGCCATACTAATTCGACTACTACACTAATCGTATTGATGGCGCAATCGTGATTGAGGCCGCCGCCTTACGAGTAATATACCGTGTGTTCGTATCCAGCCGGGGCACTGCTTTTTGTAAATCTTGTGATTGTTCTGAATCATTTAATTCGAGAACCAAATGCTTCTCGACTGTATGTATAACTTGATGAAATAGTCTTGGAGTGAGCTAGCGCTAAAGTGGCGTTTGGCTAAAGGCACTGATATTGTTAAAACTGCAGAAATTAAATAATACATAAGGGATTGACATAACGATCTATGGTTACTTACACATACAACTTTACTGTTGCCTCAAATATTGAATCAAAACATACCTACTCCTAAGTCAATTTTAATTTAATCCAGCACATACTAAAATGAATTTCTTGGAGAATATTACATTTAGAAGAATACGTAGTAGATCGGAATCTAATACTGACAATAGCCATGATGTAACTTCACAAACATTCGACTGTACCACAAATTCCCTACCAGAAATGTCCGAAGAAGAGGAGGAAGGAAAGATTGATATTCTAAAGAAGGAGATAGAAGATCTAAAACTTAAATTACAAAGCGCACACGAAGAAATAGACCAATTATCTTTAGAGAATATTAACCTAAAACAGTCTAATGCCAATTATTAGAAATTAATAAGACATACAAAGTCATTTATAGCAGTCCAGTTAGGAACAAAATCAAAACCAAGACGCCGAGGAAAAATTCCTTAATGAATCAAAACCAAACTATAACAAAACAGACTTCAACTGCATTAAATATTGATAATAAACAAAGTTCACCAAAGAGTAATATTGACATCGAAAGTACTCAAGACATACCTTCACAAAGTTGCAACAAGAAACAAACTATTTGTTCACCATTCACTCCTTCGAAACATAAAATATGTGTCATTAGTAATGAACTATCCAATAGAATATATACAATGAGTGAGGGTACTCATCTACGCAATTATGATATGTGTCATTATCGTGCACCCGATGTGGGATCGAGATAATGTTAAAAAATGTTGAGAGCAAAGTTCGTAATTTCACTTGGACGGACTATTGTGTAATTTTAATTGGTGAAGAGGATTTCAAAACAACAAAGAACTATATAGAACTAGTTACATTTATTCGTGAGAAACTTTTACAGTTGAATCACACTAATTTTATTATATGTCTACCCACTTTTAAATACATGGAAAATTCTAATATAATGTTTAATAGCAGAGTCGATACATTTAATAATTTAATTTATATGGACATTCAAACTCACAACTATGCGTCTGTCTTAGACTCAAATCTAAATCTTCCTTACACATATAATACGTACAATCAAAGACATGGTTTTCTCAATAACAAAGGATTTAGTATTGTAATATCGGACTTGGAAAGACTTATCTTAGATTTGAATGCCTCGAGCTTCGTGAAAGCGGTTGATTGTTCCGAGACACAATTAGAAATGGCACGGAGCTCATCGCAGTTTTTTCTATAATTATTGTCTCATATTATCCATCAAAATATTGCAGGCCTCGTAAACAAAGCAGATTCTCTGATTGTAAAATTAGATGAACTTTTAAGTAATGGAACTAATATAGACGTAATATGTATATCGGAGCATTTTATTGAGACAGGGTATGAGAGTATTTTACACATACCTAATTTTGCCCAGCGGCTTTCTTCAGTAGAAATACTAAACGCGGTGGTACTTGCATTTTTGTTAGGGCAGGGTTGCAGTATCGCGAATTATTAGACGTTGCTAAGCAGTCGGTAACAGGCGCCTTTGAGTGTTGCGGTATTGAACTCATTTCTTTTAATATTATTATTATATGTATATACAGAGTTCCAAAATATAATTACAACATATTTATGAAAGATTAGAGCATGTTTTACAAAAATATTGTTCTCTTGAGAATAAAAATATTATCTTGGCTGGCGACTTCAATATAGATATCTTAAAAAATAATAAATTAGTATCAGAATTCGAACATTTCCTTTTACAATATAATTTAAAATTAGAAATCCGCAAACCGACTAGGTTGACGAGCAACTCATGCATTGATAATTTTGCTCACGCCTACAAGAAGAATTGTAAAGCTGAGATAATTGACTTCGGTCTTTCAGATCATACCTGTCAACTACTCAAGGTTCCTATCAATAAAACGTGTACACTCAAGTATTGGAAAAATAGGAAGCAAGATATTTCACTAGAAAATCTAAGAATCTTCAAAAAACACCTTAAATGCTTATCTTTTTCACGAGTATACGAAGCCAAAGATGCGGACGAATCATTTAAATACTTTATGGATGATTTTTCATTTCTATACCACTTGTGCTTCCCAAACAAAATCGTTACTGTATTTACTAAAAAAAGAATAAATGGATATCTCGTGGAATAAAACTCTGTAGCCAAAAGCAAAGGCACTTACTGTGGACATATAGACTCAATCCTAATACGAAAAACAAACTTGCGTTTAAGAAATATTCTTCGCGTTATAGAAAAATAATACGACTAACCCAAAAGGCACAAAATAACAACTACATTAATACATCGAACAATAAATCAAAAGCGGCTTGGCAAGTCATTAATAAGTCAAAATTCAACTTACCCCAAGAGCCAATACTTTCAATTGAGAAGGATAATGTACTTATTACGGATCCGGCGATCATAGCAAATGAATTTAATGACTATTTTGTGGATATCATTGAAAATAATATAAAAACTAAAGGAACATCAACCGTAACTACATTATTCAAAATTCGAATTCACAGTCGTTATTTATGTCACCGGTCTGTAATTACGATATTATTAAAATAATTAGCAGTCTAAAAAATACAAATACCGTCGGTGCCGATAATATATCAACTAAGGTAGTAAAACATATAAAAGATATTATTGCTCCTGTGCTGGCTCATATAATAAATCTTTGCATTTCAGACGGTTTATTTCCAACAGGTCTGAAAAAAGTTATTATTAAACCCCTTTATAAAAAAAATTACAAAACTTGCCTTCAAAACTATAGGCCTATTGCAAAGATATCTGTATTTTCTAAAATTATTGAGAAGGTAGTTTATAATTCTATATATTCATATTTTGAAAAATTCAATCTTTTCTGCAATGAACAGAAAGGATTTAGAAAAAATACAAATATTAATATGGCCTTGTTCGACTTCATCTCTAACGTAATGGCATCCATAGATAAACGAAATCCTGTTTGTGCTATATTGACTGATATGACAAAAGCGTTTGATTTTGTTAATCATAAAATTCTGCTGCAAAAATTACAGGGGTATGGAGTGAGAGGTAATATTCTGAAACTCATAGAATCGTATCTGAGTAACCGATCTCAATGTACAGAAATCACAGAATATGCCCTGCTACTAATAAGATTAGAAAAAATATTTATCTAAACAAGGTTTACAAGATATGGTGTACCACAAGGCGGCCACTACTTTTCTTAATTTATATTAATGATCTCCCCAAAACTATAGATCACAAAATGGTGTTGTTTGCAGATGACAGCACTGTTATTGTGGAATGTAATAATTATAATAATTATCAAAATGACATAAATAATTCATTGAATGACATTATAAATTGGCTTGACATTAATAATCTTATAATTAATTTAAATAAAACAAAAGTTGTACATTTCCACCAACGTCGTAAACACTTACCGTTTAATGTAACTTATAATAACTGTATAGTGGAGGAAGTTACAAGTGCGAAATTCTTAGGCATTACCATAGATAATAAATTAACTTGGAGACCTCACTTAAATGAAATATGCACGCGTCTCAGTAAGTCTGCATATCTTTTATTCCAATTAGCCAAGAAAGTTGATACTAATACACTTCTTACGGCCTATCATGGATTGGTCGCCTCTATTATAAGATACGGTATTATTTTTTGGGGGCATTCGATTGATAGGGAACTTATATTCAGAAGGCAAAAGAGGTGCATTCGGTCTATGTGCGGTCTGAGACAGACGGATAGCTGCATTCCATACTTTAAAAAGTTTAAAATACTTTCTTTGCCATGTATGTACATATTAGAGGTGGCGATATTTGTTAAAACAAATCAACATTTGTTTCAAAAATTCTCAACTGTTAAGAGGACCCCTATTCGTGCACAATACGAAAATTTATTATGTACATATAAATGTAAAACTGCCCTACTAAAAAAGAGTGTCCTTGGTATTGCACCAATTATTTTCAATAAAATACCAGATGCCATTAAATGTTTGCCGATACATAAATTTAAACAATCTCTTCAGATGCTATTACTTGAAAAATGTTACTACAGCGTAGATGAATTTATAAATGATACTTTGCATTGATTGTGAGTTTCAATTTATTTGTTTTTCTTTATAATTATTATCTACTTTTTTTGTAAGTATAATTTAATTTAGCCTGAATGTGGACATATTGTTTATTATCTTGTTATCTATAATATTTATAATAATGACATCTTGTTTATAATTTTGACATATTTTGTTCACCAATTGACATAATTTAAACTGTTTGACTTGTGATTTTTAAATTATTATTTTTATTCATTTACATTATAAATTTTTTTTTCATTCAAACTTTGACATTTGATTTTGTATAATTATTGATTGTAGATTGGTATTATCTGCCTAAAGTAATGATTTAGTACGCCATCAATGGCAAAACATGTAGACTCTATACTAACCAAAAAAACACCTTCATTGTAATTACTCATGTTTTACTAAATAAATATATCTTTATCTTTATCTTTATCTTTATATAGCTAGCACAAATCTTGAACGCTTGGGGAAACTCCTAGCTACGTTCTAGCACCAGAAAATAACAAGAACCATTAGTTTATTTGCCTAGGAAAATCGTAAACTTCCATGGGATTCTAAATCAGAGATAAATTTTACTATTTTACAGAGCCCACATTTTCTTAAATTTATAAATATGCAATGTCTCGAGATAAGTTTATGGACTGATGGATATCTACTCATAAGATAGTAAATGTTTCAATCAACAACAGAAAAGCTTTTAATTTGAAGTTATTTTTAAAAAAATATGTTAAGTTACACACTGCTTTCTTATTGGTTGATGAATATACATTTAGAATTATATGGAAGTTCATAATTTTTCTAAGAAATTTAAAAACTGACAGATCTTATATTTTCAGATGACATCCACAAGTGACTTCATGACATATTTTAAATCAATGTTTTGTCATAAATCCATTATTGTAATATGAAATTATTGTTATTTTATATTAAATAAGTATATGTATTTGTGTGCATTCCTACTGTGGAATAAATGCTTTTTCTTTGTTCTATCTTTCAAATGATAACAAAAAGAATACCCACCTAACACCACAGGAACTTAATACTTAATCATTGTTAGCGGGTAAAGGTCAGTGCTCAAGATCCATGGCAGTTATTGTACGTGCCACACTGTTGCAAATTATAACAGTTATTATAATGGTTCACAAGTGTAACAGTTTTATTTGTCAATTTTAGTGTAGGGTGTGCCTAGTGTGACTACCTATATTGTATGTCTTCTTTTAAATTTTTTTTGTATTCTGTAGAGAATGTTGTTAGTTATAGACATATTCTTCTATATATCGAGGGGTAATGGACTAATTGGTTTAAGCGACATTTTGGTCGATATTGAGTTATATATATATTCAGAATCAGCGAATTTTTCTCCGTCGAATATATATAATAACTCAATATCGCCCAAAATGTCGCTTAATCTGTCAAACACCGAGCGGTCACCGGTGACTGCGACCTATTGTTCTTTAATTGTGTCTATAAAACCGGTACTCGACGAGTTAAACCAAATAGTCCATTACCCCTCGATATAGTCTCTATGCTTTGACATTTGTTGTAATGTATTATCATAATGTATAATTGTAGAACCCCCACTCCTCTCGTGGGTAAGTAAACAGACGTACAATTTGACATACACATCACACCAGTGCCAGATCAACAATTTGTGAATAACACAAAAAAGTGATTTGTGGCATGTTGCAATCTGAATGTCAAAAGAGGCATACTGCAGCTGATCCAATTTTGCTGTGATTTCGTTGTCAAGGAAACAGTCAATTGGATGTGGTGCCCAGATATGTAGATTTCTATAATAAATACAAATAAATGTTGAGAGTTGAAATAGTCAGGACAGGACCACTCAGCTTTGTCATAGTTGCCCTACAGATTGATTTCTTTCATACATTATGTTTACTACACATTATGACACAGAATATGAATATAATTGTTAAATTAATAATGCCACTTCACTTTGGCTTGGTTCAACTTAATTCACTCATATATCTCTCTGGTACTGACCAGAGCCATTTAAAAATTCATAATTCATATTTAGTAGTAACCTTAATATACATATCTAACATTACTTACTGAATGATAATTCATCACATATTTACTATCATGACCAACTTACATATAGGATGAGGGTGGATACGGCAGTCGTGTTTCTAGCAAGGATAGCCCAATGTAAGGCCGTATTCCCGTGCGAGCGATCAGCCGGGCGAGGCGAGGCGCCCAACGTGAGTAGAAGGCGCGCCGGGTCCACGGCCGACACTTTCCAGCACGCCCACATCAGCGGCGTCATCCCCGCCGCGTCAGGCGCGTCCGGCGTCACGCCGCGCGCCACCAGGTACGCCACCACCGCCGTGTGCCCGAACTGCGCCGCCAGGTGCAGGCAGGCGCAGCCCTCTGCGTCCCGCAGCGTGGGGTCCGCGCCCGCGCGCACCAGCAACACCGTCGCCTCCAAGTGGCCCTGCCGCGTAGCCCAATGCAGTGGAGTTGATTGCAGCTCTCCACCCACGGCGTCTACCGCTGCACCCTTCGACAGTAAGTACTGGATGATCTCACGCCTGTTGTTGATTGCGGCCCAGTGCAGCAGTGTGACAGTCTCGTGGTCTGGCTGGTTGACGTCCCATCCTGCCTCGACGAGTTCTTTGACGCGTCCGAACGCACCATACTGTGTGGCCTTGACTATGTCGAAGCCACTGTAGTCCCTCTCTAGAGGTGCCGGCGGCGGCTCCCGAGGCGGCGGTCCGTCGCCATCAGGCTGTGCTTTGCCGCACTGTCCGCTGGCGGCGGCGCCGCATGTACTATCGTACATACTCCTTAACACGGTCCAGGAGATATTAGCATTATTGGTACGACTCGATACGACTTCACAAAACCCTTGAACTTAGATACACCTTCACAATATGCGAAAAATATATTATTTTACAACGACACGATTTCGATAACAACTACAGAATCTCACGACCAAATCAAGAACAACCAAACACATATTATTGACATTTCTGATAATCTGATTTCGTGATTTTCTTGTGAGAGTTGCCATTTAAAATTATATGACAGTTGTACAGAATATTATTTTATTTTATTATATTGACATTTAATTTATCTAGACATATATTTAAGTATACTAATCCCTTTTGGTGTGTTCCGGGTGCTCCTTGATAGAAAATGGATAGAAAACGTCCCAGACTCCATTAATCAATAGATTTTGTAAAGGTTTGTATGTGAACATTGGGCAACACCAAAGAGTATGTCAATGTCACCAAACTCAGGCCCATAGATAAATAATAAAACTGTAGAAGTGAAAATTCTGTATGTAAAATACATTGAAAATATTAAAAAATATATAGTGGGGGATGATAGTGGATACCGCATCTAAAAATATAATTTAAGTGTTTGTCTGTCTGTCATTTTTATAGACAATGGGCATTCTGTATGTTCACGTATCACGCAAAAATAATTATTATACTCTATTAACCTGGGCACCACACTGGGTAGATTTAACTCGAAAAAGTATATACACAAAAAACTAACTTTCGGCTTTTTCCCTAGATACGATTACTGTACCAAACGCAAATACAAGTTTGTCGAATGTTGAGTTATCCGCAGCGCAGTGGACTTTACGCTGTAACTGTAGGAACGATGGTCGAAATTAGCTTGAACCGCTATTAGAAATGCGAAAATTGGTGAGTTTGGGTGTATGTTTGTTGGGGTGGATTATGGTCTCAAGTATAGTTATAGGCTACTCTTTACCACCGAGAACGCGGGCGAAGTTTTGAATAAAAACTATTTTTCTTTTTTTGCCTAGGCCGGTGTCAGCTTTAGTTCCTGCCCCCACGAAGCGCTAGTTTCAGGACACTAGCGCTTTGATTGTGAATATTGGCATAAATTACAATTTTGTATTTTTTCACAGTACAATTCTCTGATTGGTTTTCAAAATTTAAGTTTGATTGTAATTTGAAAACCAATCAGAGAACTGTACCTATAACTATCTATGGTTGTTTATTTATTTATTTATTTAGTGCTAACAACTACCATTACAGACTACCTATACGATATACTATACGACTATACGATCCAATACGATAGTGTGGCCCCATTAACACTAAGGTCGGCATTGCAAATGAAGGACATTATTATTGTACCCACATAAATAGTCAATATTTATAAAAACTGAATAAATTAATATACATTTTTATTATATTTTTTATATATGTGTTACCGGAAATGTATGACTTAGAATTCCGAAACTAGGTATTTAGGAACTGTAATAACTATAGTTTTAAAAAATACTTTATACGTGTACCTAGTTATGTATATAATTTTAATAACCTCATAATATAGAAAATGTATAAAAGATTGCTTTTTAACCGACTTCAAAAAAGGAGGAGGTTATACGTTCGGCCGGTATGTTGCTTTTTTTTTTTTTCGTATGTATGTACGCGCATAACTCTGAGATGCGTGAAGCGATTTGCAAAATTTTTGTTTTGTTGGAAAGGGTATACTCCCAAGATGGTCCCATTTCCATGAGGTCAGGATCTGATGATGGGATCCTAGGGAAACCGAGGGGAACTTTCGAAAATAATATGGGCGAGTGATGCGTCTATTATGTTTTTCAATTAGGATTTTTAAACACTACAATTTGATAAGGGTCTGGAGTCGACCTGATGATGGAACCGTTAGACAGTCGAGGGAACTCCTCAGCGGTTTATACTAACTACCTTGTGTTTGGGCTTGATTAATTTGTATTGATGAGGACTTTACACCTAGATAGAGTGGGGCTGTCATTAAAGGTCTGATGATGAAGAAGTGTAATTGCTAAGGGAACTCCTGAACGGTATACTGTAAATACCTTGTATTTAGGCTTGTATAATTTGTATTGATTAGAACTTTGCACCTATGTAGATTATAAGTAACAAAACGGGTATATGTAGCTTTACACTGAAAATGATAAAATAATAAAATAAAAACTGCGTTTAAAAAACCGACTTCAAAAAATCAAAAAGTCTAAACTAAAAAGCAAAAAATAACTATTATTAGTACTGATAGGTTACCCACCCACTGATAGGTTAGAAGTCGGTGCCATAAGCTCATATCATAATGATATAACTGTCCACAAAATTGTGAATTAGGTACCTATTAAGGTTTTAATGAATAATTTTGTATGGAACCATATTGTAGGGAGCCACCGCCAATAAGACCTTTGAGTGAGCATGACAACTCCAAGCTGACACAAATGAATTCTACTAGTCTAATTTAATATTAAGTTAATTACAGGGCTCTCACATTTACAATGATTATCTAAGTTAAATAATATACAATTTAGCAATATGGCTGTATTATTTACGATTTCATTAAAACAACAGTGTTTTTCGTTAGGTATCCTGTGGAGCCGGACTAGCCTGCATCCAACCATTTTTATCCTCTATATATTCATTAAGTTTGTAATATGCTTGTCTATGTTACCGGCCAAACCCGATTTCAGGAAAAACTTGTTTTGCCTAGGCTAAACTAGTTCTTCCTATACGCGTTAGGATGAACTAGTATAGCCTAGTTCAAACTAATTTGTCCTAAGCCCGATAAGATAAACCAGTTTAGGCTAGGACAAACTAGTTGATCCTGATATAAATTGGCACATTCTAGGATAAACTGGTATGGCCTAGTCTAAACATTCTAATATAAGTAGGTATCTAGAAAGTCAAAATAAATAGATAAATTAAATTAAATACTCCGTAATTGGTAAAATATTCATTTTTATGAAACTATAATGATTCGTCGTTTAAACTTATGGTTAATTGGTAATACAAACTATAACAAATAATAAGTGTTTTTTAAAACAAGCAATAATTATTTAAAGGTTATTAATTTAAAATCATAATGATTCGTTGCTACAAGTTGTAGATAATTATTGGCAATACAAACAATCATACTATAACTGACAATAGGTACTGTTTATTTATCACATAACATCACGCCCTTTACCCCCGAAGGGGTAGGCAGAGGTGCACATTATGCCACTGAACAATGTAACATCCACTTTTAACTATTTATGTTACGAGTCCCATGTAACAGGCCTATTGCCATATACCGGGCATAATTCCAAACTCCGTACTACTACCGAGATTTTGTTTTTAAAAACCTAATAAGTAATACTATGCCTGATCCGGGAATCGAACCCGAGACCACTTGCCCGGCAGTCGCATTTGCTACCACTTGGCTAACCAGGCAGTCACCCTGTTTTTTAATAAACGCAATAATCATACTACGACTACGCTATACCAGTTTATTCTAGAATCCAGTTTATTTATATCAGGATCAACTAGTTTGTCCTAGCCTAAACTGGTTTGTCCTATCGGGCTTAGGACAAATTAGTTTGAACTAGGCTATACTAGTTCATCCTAACGCGTATAGGAAGAACTAGTTTGGCCTAGGCAAAACTAGTTTGTCCTGAAATCGGGTTTGGTCGGTAACATCTACATAAAGCTTTCTTTATAATTATTAAATAATTTTAATTTTCATTCATTTAGTTGCTGTACATCGCCTGGTGCACAGAATCCCATGAACGACTTACTTACTTTCGCTAATCTCGAAATTAACTCGAATCTTATGTCTAGTCGTGATGTCGTGATGCGACTCCTAGTTGTCTAGATAGTGACACTGGATCTCTCCATACTTACTTTATCATCCTGGTGAGCTATTTGGTAGTGAGTTGTTAAGGTTCTACATATTATGTGTACATATTAATAAACTTAGCCAATTTAACAACGTACATAACGCCTCTGGTCGCATACTTGATCTCATATTGTGTAGGTAATTAAAGTTTATGTAATGTAGCTCAGTGTTGGTTCGCTGTGTAATATTGATGGGCACAATCTACATTTAGATATTAATATTTATTTGAGTGAGAAACCCAAACTTCCATGTCAGATGTCAGAAATTTGCCCGATTTTCGAAGGGCTAATTTATAAACCACTCCGTAACTATTTAAAAAACATGAACTGGGAGGGATTTTTTGAGGGTCAGCATGACGTTAATGGTATGGTGGGGGTATTTTATTGCACTATTAACGCAGCAATACAAAAATATATATCTACTGAGGTTCCTAGGAACGCTAAATTCTCGCAATGGTTTAATCAGGCGCTTATTATGTCCAACTTACAAGTTCGCAGCGATGAATATAGTCCAGCACGCGTGAATCTGTCTATCCCACTTCTAAATTGAAAACTAAACACAGGATTTAATTCACAACTGCACTTTATCTTTATTCACTTTACAATTTTTGACAATAAACCAATAAACTTCTTTTTGACGCTCAACCAAAACCATAAATTCGCGCCATTTTTTTCCCGTGTTGCTAATTGCTACCCAATTACTTACAAGAAATAATGATAATTATAATTGGGATGATGACAGGGTATAAAAATTAAAAATCTAATTAGTCCGTAAGTTAGGTAGGTAATGAAAAAATATTAGACACGTATTTTTCTATTTTCTCGGATAATAAAACAATATACTTAGATAAAACGAATCAAAGTTTATAAGTGGGGACTAAAACGTCATTTCTACGTATAAAATACACATAGAAGTGACAAATCAATGTATAGTTGAAAGTATTCGTTTCTGTAAGAAAATAAAAAATACGTGTCTAATGATTTACAATAATCTACCAGACGGACATTAAAATAGAAATTAGGCATCTACCCTATTAGGTGAATATTTTTTATCTATATCTATACATATAATAAAATAGTAGAAAAGTGCTGTCTGTACATTGAAAATAAAAATAAAAAAAATAGCAGGGGTTATTGTTATGTCGATGTCGAATCCAAAAATGTAATTAACTTTTTTTTTGTCTGTTTGTCTGTTCACGCTAATCTCAGAAACGGCTGATCCGAGTTGGATGCGGTTTTCACGAATATATTGTGGTATGCTTCAGTTATGATTTAGTGTTTGTTTTATGTCAATCGGTTCATAAATATAAAAGTTATGTCAAATTAAAGAATAACGTCGAACACTATTCTATGCTTATACATAGATACTATACATAGGCACATGGTTTCACCCCCGATGGCCATACGTCTAATATATAGAGAAGCATTACACTAAAGTAGGTTTTTTAGCTACCCAAAATGACTGTGATTATTATCTAAAATAAAAATAAGTATATATTAAAAAAACGCTGCTGATAGTCACTATTCCACGCGAACGAAGTCGCGGGCACAGCTAGTGTTTCAATAAATATGATTAGCTTACATTTTATTGGTACCTAAATCCCGAGTTATATCACAAAAGTAATTGTAATTACACAAGACTGAATGCTAATATTAGTCCTTAAAATCCCACAGTTTTCATTTATGTCGGCCGAGACCAGGATTTGCCGATATTTATTTATTTATTAACACTTCTGTATAACAAACATACGATGGCGGACTTAATGCCGGGTGGCATTCTCTAACAGTCAACAATGGGGTGATGCAGAGATGTGCAACAGTAGGCGTATAGGTATAATGGTTTATGTGACACAGAAAAATCTATATAAATAAATTCATGACTATGCATAGCTGTAAATATATACATATATCCGTATATATAGGTATAATAAAAATTACATAAAATACATTATCAAAATTACTAAATAACAATACTATAAAAGTAAATAAATAAATTGAGAATAAAACTACATAGGTATAACATATATAACATAACATCACGCCTTTTTATCCCGGAAGGGGTAGGCAGAGGTGCACATTTCGGCACTTAATGCCACTGTACAATGTAATAATATATATAAAATATATATATTAAATACAATCGCCAAAATGATAAATTAAGTACGTGATGCGTCTGTCTGTTCCCTCTGCAATAGTTCACGAACCTTAACTTTAAAACTAAGCCGGCTGGTTGCCGTCCTGACATCCGTGGGCAGCGCATTCCACAGCAGAATGGATTGGACAAAGAATGAAGAGTGAAGGAAGTCGGTCCGGTGTGTGGGACATTGTAGAAGAAGATTATTAGTGGAACGAAGATACTTGCTGTGGTTTGCACTTATGAACTGAAAATAGGAGAATAGATAGTTAGGAGAAGTGGGGGAATTAAGAAGAGAGAATAAAGTGGTTAACGCCCGTTGTTTCCTGCGTTGACGTATGGGCAACCACTTTAGTTGCAACCGATATGCAGAGACATGGTCGTATTTACGCAGGTTAAAAACGAATCGAATGCAGTTATTCAGAAGGCGGTCAAGTTTATTGAGGAGATCTGCATTCAGGTCGTAGTAACACACATCAGCGTAATCAATTATGGGGAAAACCAAGGACTGAACAAGCAACGCCTTGGTCGACGACGGAAGGAAGTTTTTTAACCGATACAGGGCTCGCAACGTCCCCGTGACTCGCTGACAGACACTAGTAACATGAGCACGGCAGGTTAAGTTGCCGTCGATGTGCAACCCAAGATTTTTGACATCACCACTAAATGAAATGACCGCACTGTCAAACCGGACTGGCGGTACCGTTGCACTGTTAACCTTGCACAAAGTGCGGGAGCTACCTATTATTATCGCCTGACACTTGCTCGGGTTGACATTAATGCCAAATTTCCCAGACCAGTTAGATATGGCAGTCAAGTCCGCGTTCACCTTCGCAACTGCATCAGGTAAGTCCTCAATCTTGACTTGACAGTACAATTGCAGGTCGTCGGCATACAGATGGTACGCACACTGAAGTTCGGAAGTGATAAGGTTTATGAAGATGGAGAATAGAAGAGGAGAGAGAATTCCGCCTTGAGGAACCCCAGCTTCTAAATGGCACCAGTTCGACGAAGCCTCACCAACCTGGACCAATTGCTGACGTTCCTGAAGATAAGATGAAAACCAATCCAGTACACCATCACAGACCGAAAGATGGGATAGGATAGCTAGCAAAATGTCGTGATTGACCATGTTGAAGGCATTCGAAAAGTCCACCAAAACCAATACTGTGATCCTGGTGTCCTCCATCCCCGCCTTCTGTGCCCGGGCCTGAATCCGGATTGTAATGGATATCCTTTGCTATAAAAAAATACCGGTCTTCTTTTAATCACTGTGGTTATCTCTGGTGTGGTTAAGGATTCAATGAAACTAGGTGTTCTCATAAAGCTTTCATTTTATTAGTTAAACAAATATCACTTTTATTTACAACCAAAGCGATCACAAATTATAAGTAAAACTATTCGTAATCACCTAAAACTACTTAACAGATCGAAATATTTACAATAGAATTAACAATCGTTTAACTGGCGAAACAGTCGGTGCGAAGAGGCTGAGGCGGCGGGGGCGGGGGCGGCGGCGGCGGCAGCGACGGCGGCGGCAGCGGGCCCGCGCGTCGCCGGCCTCACGCCGTGGCCAGCGGCTGCGTGACCACGGGCTCGCGGCGGCGCGGCGACGCCTCGTCCGCCGCCTCGCCCGCCGCCGGCTCCGACAGCCGCAGCGCCACTTCCAGGTCGCGCAGCACCTGCGAACACGACACCCCGGTCAGTCGGCGGGCGTGATACCGCGTGGCAGTCGCCCCGGACAGACACCGACCTCGGTCTCCTTGTGGTCGAGCAGTGCGAAGCGGCGGTCGAGCGCGGTGAGGTGCGCGAAGGTGAGGTGCAGGTGCGCGTGCAGACGCAGCAGCGCCAGCTGGCGGAAGTGCGCGGCGTACATGTGCGCCACGACGTGGAACAACAGGCGCACCACGCGCCGCACCACGCCCTCGAACTGCGCGGGGAACTCGTTCGCTGCAAATGCCACAAATTGCCACAATGACATTCGATTATTCTGAAACACCTTTATATCTAGCTACCGGAGATCGGTGACGGCCTGATTCTGCTGACTGCTGTGGTCAGGTCGGTGTGGACCGACACCACACTCCTCTGGGTGGCCACCACCTTGAGGTGGTCTGTGTACTTTGTATCACTGCAGTAAGATAAAGAAAGAAAAGAGAATTTGATGTTCTCAAAGGCATTTAGTAAAAATTAGTTTTAACTAGGAATGAAACTAAATAAAACCTTGTAAAAACGCGTTCTATCAATAGGGTTGCCAATCGTACTCTAAAATAGAGTATTGACTTCTATATCATGTAGGCGTACTCTATAATCTGTAAAACTAATACACAATGTTTACTTAACCTGTGCCAGTCTGTGCAATATGCAAAAACCCATGACCAGAATAAAAAGTTTACTATTTAATGTTAATACATAAGTGATTATTTAAAAAATACATACTTAAGTTAAGCGTAAAGTACTGGGCCGAATTGAATGTTTGGTATACATAAGTATGTTATCGTGCAATAACATACTTATCGAGCTGTGTAACTATTAGTAATCTGTGCTGTAGGCTAACCTAGCTAGTACAATAATGAGACTGCTTTTTTATTTTGAAAGAAACATTGTTATGTGCTAGTCAGAGTACGAGAAAATCCCTTTTTATAAGCACAAAATAAATGATACTATTTTTGTAAGTCCGTACTCTTGATTTACCTCCTTTAAAATCAGATAATACATTATATTTCTTCTAAAAAAAGTTGGCAACCCTATCTTTGAAAAACCCGGTTTTAACTGTAACATAACAATTTGCATCTTTGTGGATATTATTGAGCACGAGCACGAGCCCCGAGACAAAGAACGGGGGTTCTCAGGGGCCCCCGAAAGACCGACAATTACTACGACGGACACAGTCCCGCTGCCCGCTACACGTTGCGCGGCAACCGGCTGCCCCGCAATGTATAGCGGGTTCGATTCCCGCACGGAGCAAATCTTTGTGTGTTCCACAAATTGTTGTTTCGAGTCTGGGTGTCATGTGTATTTAAACTTGTTTGATAATGCACCCACTCCAACTTGTTGGAGAAAATCTTAACGTGGAAAAAGAAACATTCCAAAAGGCCGCGTATTCCAAGTCCGCCCTGGTGGTAATAGAAGAGTGATGTAGTTAACTTACCATACTTAGTAGGAAAGACGGTTTCGTCGTTGACAGTCTTCTGCGTGAAAGTCATCACGTAATCGACGTACTGCGGTGCAGCGACGCGGGACTTCTTGCCGCGCTCGTCGTACCAGGCGTAGGTGCGGCCGCCCGGGCCTGTCATGTCGGGGCAGCTGGTGGCCGTGCAGAATTCCGACACCGTGCCGTACAGCAAGTTCACGTGGTCGAATAGCGCCAGCGCTGGAAACAGTACACAACTATCTTAACTCATGGACCGATACAGTATCTCAGGACACCACTACACTAAAGCACGTCCACGTAAGTACATTCAACAAAAAAATGTGTGTTTTTCACGCGCACAGTCAGCCATGGTGATATGCAGGTAAGAAAATAAAGACTGATTGAGGTACTCCTGCTGTGGCTGTGACACCCAGGTGAATGTCAACTATATGAATCGCACATAAAGTATTCCATCTACCTATCTCACCTATAATGCAGTGTCATTCATTTAAAAGAAAAATAATATTTGATTTTGTATTCCATCCGCGAAGGGTACTAATTTCAACTGTCTTAATGCGAGGACAAAGACATAAAAATTTCTATAGAAGAAATATTTATGCCTAAAAATAAAACTACGTTTAAAAATCGACTTGTTAAACCATAATCTAAGTTATGTTTTATTTCTTACTTTATAATTTACTAGCTTCAGCCCGCGACTTCGTACGCGTAATCCCATTTTTCCCGTCCCCGTTCGTGATTTAGGAAAAAAGTAAAAATAAAAAAAAATTGGTTAAAAAGTATCCTATGTCGGTCTCCTGGCTCTAAGCTACCTCCGTACCAATTTTCAGCCAAATCTATTCTGCCGTTCTTGAGTTATAAGTGGTGTAACTAACACGACTTTCTTTTATATATATAGATTAGCTACATCGCAATAATGAAACAAGTGAAGGTATACCTAACGGAAAAAAAATATGTAATTGTGCCACATCCATTTTTCTACCTAAAATCTAATCGTTAATGAGATTTAATTTCGGTTCGTACCCTTTTTTTTAGGGGGGAAAATCATCGAATCACTGCTACCTCCTGGGTGAGGCGGAAGGGAGTGTCAGACTCTTACTGACTAAAAACCACGCAATATAGAATCTATATTCGTACCGACCGAGTCGGACCGATTTTTTCGTTAAGTATTTAAAACCGCTACAATCTGATAAAGGTCTGGAGTTGATCTGATGACGGAACCGAGAGGCAGTCAAGGGAACTGCTCAACGGAACGGTTAACAGTAGCTGTCTTGTTTGGGTTTGATTAATTTGTATTGATGAGGACTTTACACCTAGGTGTGGTGTGGTAGTCAATAAGGGTCTGATAATGAAGTAGTACCATAATTGAGGGAACTCCTCAACGGTTAACAGTCGCTATCTTGTGTTTGGGTTTGATTAATTTGTATTGATGAAGACTTTACACCTAGGTATGGTGTGGTTGTCACTAAATGTCCAATAATGAAGTAGTATGATAGCTAAGAGAACAATGGTTAACAGTTACCTGGTGTTGGAGCTTGAATAATATACATTGATGAAAACTTTGCACCGATGCGGGCTCTACATAATATAACATATTCTAATACTAAACCAAAAAGTATTAAATAAATAAAATAACTGGGTTTAAAAAAACCGTCTACAAAAACTAAAAACAGGAAAAGTTTTTTTTTTATTATTATTTATTTATCGTGTTTACAATAAGTACAGGATTATCCATTTAAAATAGCAACCAAAATCCACTAAAGTTTAAATAAGCTCACCCCTATTACATGGAACTCCTAGCGTAGTGTTAGAAATTGAGATATATTTTTGCATGTGTAATAGACCAACATTAATCTGATATTTGAACATATTAAAATGTATGTTAAATTGAAAGTTTTTATTTGATGTAAGGTAGGTAGGTGATATAAGTTCCACAACGTAAAAGTAAAAAGTCGCCTTTGTGCGCCTGGGTGAATTAAATTGACAAGTGAACAAAGTAGACTACTTGAGTCAACTCAATTCACCTAGGTGATATCACCTGGGTGAAATAATTCCCAGTTGAATTGAGGACTCCAAAAAGTCTACTTTGTTCACCTAGGTGAAATCACCCAGGTGAACAAAGTGGAATAAACCGTTGGCGCGCTGAGTATGAAGCTTATTCTTTAATATTAAAAACTTGAATTGTGTGTTAATTGGTAAGATATTACAATGTTTAAAAAGGCCATCTATGTTATCGTAGAATTTGTTTTTAACTGTGGGTGAAACTAGTTTTTTTTTAATTTGTAAGTAAGTAAAAAGTAAAAATATCTATTACTAGCTTTTACCCGCGGCTTCGCTGGCGTCACAAAAGGATAAAAAGGCCAATGTGACATATACCAATACACACAGCGCCATCTATACCAATACTTTTGTTTTACCTCGGGAATATCAAATTTTTTCCGGGATAAAAAGTACCCTATTATTTAATCCGGACTTCTAACTATACATCTGCAAAAATTCATAGCAATCGGTTTAGTAGTTATGGCGTGAAAGTGGAACAAACAAACAAACTCACTTTACGATTTATAATATTAGTAAGGAAGTAAGGATTGGTCATACGTACTCATTGCTTACACACACACAGCTGATAGGTTAGAAGTCGGTGCCACAAACCCATAACAAAATATATCTTAGGTAATGGTCACAGGTATAATCACAGGTATATTGTGAACCTGATTGAAAAAGAGTAACCTATGGAGTTTCTTGCTCGTTCTTCTCCATAGGAATCTACGCCTTGGAATGAGCAAATAGCTTCACTTTAAATTGTTTTTGTTGACGTTCAAAAGTGCCATTCTGGCCTAATTGAAATAAATGATTTTGACTTTGACTTTGAATCCATAATAAAATTGTAAACAGCTTAATCATGTTAGGTATCTATTAAGGTTTTAATGAATAATTTTGTGTAATACTTGTGGCACTGACTTCTCACCAAAGTATTTCCTAAGAGTACGTTTGACCTAATAGTTATTTTTACTTTACGTTTGTTTTTAGTTTTTAAAATCGGTTTTTGTAAACGCAGTTTTTTTATATTAATTTTATATGTCAAATATAACATAACTTAGTAAAATTGATTTACACATCAGCAGATGCGTCTGCGGAGTCTGGAAGAGGTGTCTAATCGATCAGACACAAAAAAGACACTTTTATAAGTAAGTAAGTAAGTAACTAGCCACTACTCGTTATTAAAGGCACCGATAATATAAAGAAGAATGTCTACTACACTTTTCTGGTCAGATAAATTTACTAAAATTCGGACAGAGGGCCGCGCCGCGTAAACAGTAGATTTAGATGAGAGATGGTAGCGTACCACACGCGGTAGTAGCAATATCGCGTCACACGCATGGTTGCATCTATTGCACAGACATCAATAAAGACGAGATAAGGGGGCGTCCATAAATTACGTGAGATTTAAACATAAAAGAGGAGGCAAATCATCAATACCTGCAACAATGAATTTAAAAGACCAGGGGGCTTACTCTTGAATCCAATTCCGATCGATCGACATTGGTATTGTGAGATTTCGTACTCTCGAGTTGCCACACTAGTGCCCATTCCATCCGTATTGCGCGGATATTGAATGAACTAAATGGTATTGAATTTATCTTTATATTCCGTACTCTGAATGCTATTGTAACAGCTACGATTGTGGTTGTATAGTGTTGACATTGAATAATTATTGATATTGTATTGGATTGAAATTGGATTGACATTGAGATTGGTTTCAAGAGTAAGCACCCTGGTCGGAAACACAGGCCCTGAAATAGTGAATCTATTTGCAGAACATTTTGCCTCGATCTACTTGTCCGGCTCGGCTCCTTCGGATGCTACTTTGCTTGCGACTCCGTGTCACGCGTCCTTACAACGGAGTTTGCATTCGCTCACGATAAAGGAGTTTGAGGCGCTTAAAGCGATTAAAAAAATTGACGCTGTGAAGGGTGCCGGCCCGGATGCGATTCCGCCGGTGTTTGTGAAAAGATGTGGTTCTGCGTTGGCTTTGCCTCTGACCTTAGTGTGCAATCGATCATTAGCAGATGGGACATTTCCGTCGGAGTGGAAAAGGGCACGCATTGTTCCGGTCTTTAAGAAAGGGGAAAATTCTGACGTTCAAAACTATCGTCCTATTTCCATTCTGTCCTGCTTTTCCAAGCTATTTGAGTCGATTGTTTATCCCGTGATCTGTCGGCTTGTGGATGACAGCACTTCAGATTCACAGCATGGTTTTAGACGTGGTCGCTCAGTCGTCACAAACCTGGTCCCTTATATTTGTAATATATCCAATGAAGTTGATTCGGGCAGGCAGGTTGACGCCATCTACACTGACTTTAGCAGTGCCTTGATAAAGTTAACCACTCCGTTCTTCTGCGGAAATTGTAAAGATTGGGTGTGGATGGGGCACTTTGAAATGGTTTGAGTCCTATCTAGGGCAAAGACCTCAGTCAGTGGCTGTCAACGGATTTAACTCAAATATCTATTTTGTCGATACTGGTGTTCCTCAGGGATCGCATTTGGGACCTCTTCTGTTTATTATCTTCTATACCACATACATAGTTGAAAAAGTAAGACACTGCAAGGTGTCACTGTTTGCTGATGACCTCAAAATATATAAAACCATATATTCCGTTGGTGACTCTCGTCAACTACAGGGTGACTTGGACGCGATACTGGACTGGTGTCGCGTCAATGGTATGAATCTTAATGCCAGTAAATGTTTTCATATCAAATTTACAAGAAAAAGGAACCCAATTGCAACGGAATACATGCTTGGTGATACAGCATTAGTGGAGGTCAACGAAATCCGGGATCTTGGCGTGATAGTTGATAGTCAGCTTAGGTTCACCTCACACATTGACAAGTCTGTCACAAAGGCAGCTCAAATGCTCGGATTTTTAAGATGGAAACGGAACTCGACCGGATTTAAACATCAGCGCACTAAAATCTTGCTTTACCAATCCTTGGTCCGTAGTCATCTTGAGTTCGCCAGTGTTGTGTGGAGTCCGTTTTATGCTGTGCATTCGCAGCGCATTGAGAGTATACAGAGAGCGTTCACTAGACACCTTGCTTACAACACTGGTGGATTTTCTCACAGGAATCCGTATAAAGAGCGCTTGATTAGGTTTCGAATGCATTCTCTTCTTCACAAAATCATAGATGGCAATTACCGGTGTAGCTATTTTCTGGAGAGCGTGCCTCTGCGTGTTCCGCGTGTCTATCCTCGAGGAAAACTTAAATACATTTTCTACATTCCACCGGTAAAGTCTAATTTGGGACGGCAGGCACCTCTCCGTAGAATAATTAATGAGTACCACTCCCTTATCTCAACAATACCCGATCTTGATGTGTTCCACGATGGATTAAGAGTATTTAGAGGCAGGATTATTGATGCACTATAGTATCGTTTGTTATTGTTGTTGTTGTTGGTGCTGCTTGCTGCTTTATACTTTGGCATCTGTTTTAGACTCTGACATTTCTTTAAATCATTGAAATTATTTTGATTCTGATTTAATTGACATTTCTTTGAAATCTTGACGATAATTTGACATTTTATTATATTATATTTGTATTAAATTATTATTATTATTAGACTTAATATGGCATAGATACTAATTAATTTTTGTTGTTAATTTGTTTTGTTTTAATCAGACATATGATAATTATATAGAAAATTGAACTTGTTAAATGTTCATTTTAATGTGTTTATGGTGTGGATTATTGTTGTTATTTTCTTTTCCATAATTCTCAAATTGGATTTTATTTTTAAGCCACTGTTAAGCCTATGAATTGCCAATGCTATGTACGCCATTATTGTCGCATGCATCAGACCTTTGTTTTGTTACTATTGTGTATTTTGAATGTCGTATGTTTGTGATGTGGCCGTACTTCTTCGAATAAATAAATAAAGATGTTTAAGGGGGGAGGGGGTAGTCTCAAATCTCATCTAATCTTACGTTGAAGACAAAAAAATACGCGATATTTGCCGAACCCCCCCTGATCTCGGCAAATATCACATAAATTTTTTTCTGAATAATACATAAAAAATATACTATTTTAGTCCATTTAATCCAGATTGTACATGCTTTAGATTTAATTGTATATGCATTTGTTTTATACGTGTATTCATCTATATTCATATAGTATTCTATTACACTTACAAAAAGAATATAATATAAAAAGAATAAAAATATAAAAATAATAATATAAAAATAATTATATTGGAGATAATAACTTAGATTAGGGATTTTGTTTGGAATTTTTGATTTTTCATATTTCTTTAATTACTTAGGGGTTTTAGTAAAAATAGTTTGTTATTGTCTCAGAATTGTTTTTTTTTTATTCAATATAAGTAATGGTACAACAAATACTTGCTATGTCATGCTTGGGTTGTAGTGTAACTACCTATATGTAAAGGAAAAATGTTGTGATATAATTAAAATTGTTTGTACAATGAGCGTCTCTCGCCATCAAACGTCAAAGTTTGGTGAGTTTATATTTAAGGCCATACCTATGTAAAATTGCAATGAATAAATTTGATAAAGAAAAAAAAACTATCAGCAATATTGATCACTAGTCTTTACTAGTCGTAAACAAAAGTGTGGGCCAGGCTTCAGCACGAATGGGCCGGCTCGACCGGAGTGATACCACGACTTCACAGAAAACCGACGTGAAGCAACGCTTGCGTTGTGTTTCGTAGTGTGAGTGAGGTTATGCCATAAAAAGAAAAAAAAAAGCATAAGCAAATTTTTTTCGTTGAGCATTAACAATCCAATTTTGAAAAATCTCACGTGAGATTGGGGGATGGGGGAGGGTGTTAAATAGAATCTCACGAAATCTCACCACCACCCCCCGGTGGAGGAGAAAATTAAAAAAAACACCCCACGTAATTTATGGACGCCGCGCCCCTTAAGCAAACTAATCAGGAAGGCGGCTGATGAGAGTGAGCAAGGGATGAAACTATCAAACACCAAGCGGTCACCGGTGACCGCAACCTATTGTTCTTTAATTGTGTCTATAATGACGGTACTCAAAGAGTTAAGGATTACAACCTGAAAATGGCCATCAAACACAGAGACGCGGCGGTTGTGGGTGCTCTTTTGGGCGGGGAATGTTGCTTGTGATAAAAAGGATGCAACATGAGGAAATGAGTATGCAGAAATACGTAGATATAGAAAATTACCCATTGACTTTTGGACTATTGTAAGCTTTATTGGAAACGGCCAACGTGGTAGGGGTTGAGGCGTCATGCACACATAAATGTCCTACAGTCGGTGGCGCTGTGTGTTGGGTTGTTCCGTTCCCAATAAAATGGTTGACCGGACCAATTGCTGACACACACGTCATACTCGTGAACGGGTGCCTACTGTGTCAGGTCGGCTCTCCTATCTTGTTGGTGGGCTGATTTCGTAGAGCCGTCGAAATAGATAAAAGCTAATTATTATGTAATTTATACTTTTAGTAATAATTATAGATGTGGTTAATTGTAATGTGTAACTAGGTACCGACTCTACAAAAATTGATTAGGCGTAATAAAAATTGTATGACAAGGGCACGGACCAAGAGTCCGTGGAGAATTAATGGGTAAAGTAGATTTGCCTACACTCCTACAGTGAAAACAACTTATTTATTTGAAATTTCGGTTCACTTGCCAGTAACAGACGAACGATAAGATGCACAAGGAGTTTTCTTACACAAACATGGCAAAAGCATAATAGGTCGGTAGTAATTATCCATTGTGAGTATTTATCCGAATGAATGGCCATCTTTATGCCGGTATAACTTAGGGTCATGGGCGGATTGTTTCTATTTTTGGGGATTATGGGACGCCTTCTACGATACAACGGTTAAATACAGTTATGATTGCATCAGCTGCGGACTTAGATAACATGATAAGCATGAGGGTGGTGGTTGTGAATGGAGGGGAATACTAACTGTGTGAGGCGAGCCACTCGTTGTAGTCGAGACCTAGCGGCAGGTCGACGAGCTGGCGCATGTCGAGCTCGGGCAGCTTGCGCTCCAGCAGCGCCTCCTGCAGGTACAGCTTGGGGTCGCCTGCTGGCTCACCTTCGCGCTCCTTGCGCCGCGCCTTCCTGTAAAACATACACACACACACTTACTGTTTCTATTTCATATCATCGTACTGAGTTTTCGTCTAAGAACCCTTGCTTTGCTCAGACTCATGCGTGCTTGATATCGCTAAGATTATTTTGCAACATAAACGCAATCTTCATTTTTAAGTTGACTTTTACAGGCTGTAGACGTATTCCATCATGAGAACATTGGCAAAATTAAAATAAATTGTGTCCTTCTATCAGTAGGGCCAATACAAATAATTCCCCTTGAAAAGCTTTATCCATTGCAATGCTTAACAGAATTGACAATAATCTTACTAATATTATAAATGCGAAAGTTTGTGAGTATGTGTATATTTGTTCTTATTGTATATATCTTATATTTTTCTATAAAGCTGAGGAGTTTGTTTGTTTGTTTGAACGCGCTAACCTCCGGAACATCTGGTCAGATTTGAATAATTATTTTTGTGTTTGATAGTGCATAAACGCATCACGCTGCGATAAAAACGAGCTGAGCAGAGCGGGTTTCATGATTTTAGTTGACCTATAACGGTAATAACAAAAATACATAGAAGTTTTAGTGCTTAATTAACAAAAAAACACTGTCTTTATCTATTTTAACGGAGCCCATAATCACCTAATACAGGCTGTTTTCTGCCTACTTGCCAGAACACATATTGAACATGCAATCATTTATTTGTGAACCACAATGTACGCACCTACCTACGTATAATTATGGTGTGAGCGTCATCAATAATAATTCATTATTCTTAGTCTTCAACTCATCGTCAGTGTAATAAGTTTTGGTTCAAACATGTCTTGATTCCATTCTCACCAGTATCAAAACAATGATCTGCGCTACCGGCTCGCAACCCGCAGTACTTATATCAGCGAGAAGTAATAATTAGGACTTATTGAATATTTATCAATGTTGCAATAATAGGGACTACCCTATTATTGCAACATATTATTTCGTACCCCGTCTACTAAGACGGGGTACGAAAATTAAAAACCTAATTAGTCCGTCAGTTAGACAATTTAAAAACATTAGATACTAATTTTTTGTAATTATTCATTATAATATAAAGTTACAATACTTAGATAAAACGGAGTCAAGTTTATGAGTTAGAGGTCGTTATGTCACGTTATCCTATAAAATGTAGTAAATCGTGACGTCACACGATAATATAAATCTATACATACAACGTGACTTGCAATTCGACTTATTCCTCTCGGGAGGTGATAATACAACTAAGTTCGTACATAATTAGCCCTGAGGTCCCTAGTCTGACAATGGCTAGGTTCTGAGACATTCAATATTTTCGGTTTTGATCAAATAACTCCGATCTAACTTCAAAAACATAAACAGATAAAGTTGGTCTGATTTAAGTGACTTTTAATTTGTTCGCAATACATCAATTAACATTTATTAATAGTAATACTTACAGGAATATCATTCGTTTTAAAATAGCAAGCAAATTAGTATAAATATAATTTTGGCTCCTATATAGAATCGAAAGCGCAACAGGCTGGTAGTAATTTGGGTATCCTATGGAGGGTGAGACGGTACTTTACGCCGAAAAAATTGCTGAGCCTGTACCAAGTACAGGTACGGTCCTGTATGGAGTACTGCTAAATTAGTGACTTAAAAGTGGCCAGTGGAAGGCAACTGCTTCTTTGTTCTGTTTGAGCGCGGCACAGCTGTCACTAAATTAATTACTACCTCCATTTTGGAGACTCAGTTGCCAAAGAAAAAAAAAATAACTACCTGGTTGACAGCCAAAAACATGCAATAACCCTCAGTCCATTAGAAAAAAATAAAAGATGAAGAAATTACACTTTTTTATTGAAATTTATATTACACTTGTATTAATTAAATTTATTATAATTATATTATTATTATTCACATATAGCCACACTGTTTTTTCACTATTACACACAAACACGTATCCTGCAGAATAATTATTTTATTTGTATGCTTTATATTTCATTTCTTTTTCCTTGAGCGACTTACCGCCGTCCGTGAGTCACTGCAGGGTGCCATCTGAAAATCAGTGTTGGGCATGTACGCTCAACTTAATGCTGAGATGGAGGCCCTTTTGGCAAGGGCACGCACCGTTAAATGTTATTTATTTATTTATATCTTGTTTTTATTAATTTTTAATTATTGTGATAGTATTCTATTGTCACTGTTTTGTTATGCGTTGTCGTTTCTTTGTGTTTTTTTCTATATCTGTATAAATAAGTGTATTTATTTGTTCTTTACTTTTTAATTTCGTATTTTTTTGTATCTGTGTGCGTGCCTACTGTCGAATAAATGATTTTTTCTTTCTTTCTTTCTAAAACAAAATTTGATGCTATGATTTTATGATCAAAATAGGGTAGATGACTCATTTTTATTTTAATGTCCGTTTGGTACATTATTTTAAATCAATAGACACGTATTTTTTTTTACAGAAATAAATATTTTCGACGATATATTAATTTGAATTGTCGCATGACGTCACTTCTATATAAGTACATTTTATACGTAGAAATGACGCTTTAGCCCCCACTCCTAAACTTTGATTCGTTATATTTAAGTATCATATTATTCAACAACAAAATAAAAAAATACGTGTCTAATATTTTTTCATTACCTAACTGACGGACTAATTACATTTTAAATTTTCATACCCTGTCATCCCCTATTGTTCACATTCACATGTGTTCAGCGGCCGCCGGCCCATGGTGTAATGTCGCAGTTAGTTTTGCCTGCTTGCTTGCTATCGCCATCTCAATCTCATGCGGTTGCTGGGGTGGCGGGGGCGGTATGATGCTCCGAATTCACTTAGTTTTTTTATTTAATATGTTTTTTATTGATATTGATAGGTTGTATGTATCACGTTTTATGTTTGCTTTTTATGTTTATTTATTTTGTTATGTGTATTTTATATAGTGTGTGTTTGGTGTTTAGTAATTAATAATATAATCTATATATATAAAAGAAAGTCGTGTTAGTTACACTATTTATAACTCAAGAATGGCTAAATCGATTTGGATGAAAATTGGTGGGGAGGTAGCTTAGAACCAGGAGACGGACATAGGATACTTTTTACCCAATTCTTTTTTTTACTTTTTACCGAAAATCAAGAACGGGAACGGGAAATATCGGGATTGCGCGTACGAAGTCGCGGGCAGAAGCTAGTATCTAAATAAAATATAATATAAATAAATTAATATCTTTATTACTAAATGCTTATTGTTGTCTGATTGGTGGCTTGTTTGTCCGCGAGTCACTTAGGGGTCTGTAGAATACCAGCGCAAGGTCCTGTCTTGCACAAGCTGAACTAGTCCCATTTCACCGCAGACTTGGGATATTAGTAGATGTTTATAAACTTATGTATAAAATCTGTATGTGTCACCTGTTTTAGCGTGTGAAATAAAGTTTCTTCTTTCTTTCTTTCTATACTAATTTACTTGGTATATTAAAACGAATGATATGTCTGCCAGAATTATTTATATTAATAAACTTGCTGCACCGGCAAACTTAGTACCGCTCAATTTTTTTTATTCACCTTTTAAACCTTCCTTGGACTTCCACGAACATTTAAAGACCAAAATGAGTCAAATCGGTTCAGCCGTTCTTTAATTTATTGTAGTCAGTTCGGGATTTCTTGACAGAAACTAAAAATGTTGAATATCTCAGAATGTAGCCATTTAGTTGTAAATGTTGTACTATTTGTCTCGAGTCCTCTAAACAAAACTAGTTCTGAAAATTGAAATCTGACACATTCCGTCAATAGACGCGTAATAATATATTTCTACTGTACACCGCATCTCACAGTTTTCGAAAAATGTTGTTCCATTAAAAATCCAATCCTATTGTTTTATGCGTGACTTTGGTTTATCAATTTGCAAAACTGTAAGCGTAAAATAATACAATTTATCTCTCGATTAAAATGCTTCGGATTAGTGGTTCTTGGTATTTTCCGGTGATATCTATTTTGTATTAATTATAATAATATAGGTTTAGTACGGAGGTCGTATGGAGTACGCAGTTTTGTTAGAATTCTATTTATTATTATCGCAAAGCATAGCTAATCAGTCGAGTTCGCGCCGTTTCACCGCATTTGTCGAACACACTGATAACTTTATCAATACATTAACAAACAGCTGACTAAGACCTTCGTATGACATTATATATTACATTTTATGGCAATGCAACTACCACGGCACTGGTTATTAACAAGAAACATGTACGCAATAGAGTGTGGCACCAGGAGGACACGAGGACATGACAGCCAGCACAGCTACAGCAGAGCAGCAGGTGCAGTGCATGCCTCGAACGACGGCGACGTCACGCCGCGCGCCGCGACCGTGAGTGATACTACATGACTCAACTCTGGTACCTTTCCTCAGGTGACGTTTTAACGTTATGCGTAATAATTCTGTTTGAATATTTTAATATAGAAAGCAATACATCAGCTGCAGCGCAGGATAGCTGCTTTACAGCGATGTTATTTGATGAGTCTATAGATTCATTACGTACTTACGTGCATGTTCAGCGAACATTTAATTGTAACTTTAAAAATAACCAACAGCACACCACAATCAGTCACATTTAATATTTACATCACAAAATGTGTTTTTGTGCCGGCATGGCGGGCGCCTGCAACATCGCACTACTGATCTCGTTACAGCACAGTACAGCCACAGCTGTAGTACAGCTCACCTGAACGGTACGGCTGAGTACAAATAGGAAGGCAGCGAGAACAACACTCCCAGCACAACTGCGTGGCACATCACGCCGACGACTGACCGCTGCGAGCGCTCGGCCCTCTCGGGGCTCGGCGACTCGCTCTCGCTCCACTCCGCGGAACACATTGCGCGAGCGAGTGGCCGCGCCCGCTCGACCGAGTCGCACTCGCGAGTTGCGCCTGCGCAAGCTCGGCGCGCCACACCCGCGCCCCGCCCGCGCCGCGCCATGCCCTAGTCCCCCGCGCCCGCCCCGTGCCTTGGGCCAGTGGCGCGCCGCGCTCATCAACAATAAACATTATCGTAGTAGTCGTATTCATGCATGATGCACACGTACACGTTACACTTACACAGTAAAGTGGTATGGTCTAATATAGGCCAAGGCGACGTTACAAGATGGAGGTTAGTTTTTCTTTCGTAGCTATCGATTAAGTAGGGTACTAAAAAAGCGCATGCGATTCACTTGTTCACTATGAGCAGGTTGATAAAACACCGCCGCGCCGCCGATGGCCACACTTACCGCTCACGTCTAGCAAAACCGCTGAAGTTACATCACATATTGCCCTCCATGGCAATAAGTATAGCATTGTGTGTATAGTAAACTCGTGTGTTGAAGCGGAAAAAACTTGGTTATATAATAAGCCCGCAGGGACCTTAAGGCGAGGTGACAGGCATTAGCGACCATTATCCCGAATGCGCCAGGGAGAAGGCACCGTTCCTTATTCTACGGCTTGCCTTCATTGGCCGTCCATAGTGGAGTCGCGAGAGCAGTGATCCTACTCGGAGGGTAAGAAACTATTCGTAAATCGCGAGTATGCCAGGGATGCAGAAGGCTTCGGCTGGAGCAGATGAGCTGAGTAGAAAACGGTGGTAGTTTCTTAACCCTTCAGCCACTCAAATTTTCGTTGGCCCTCTGTTGCTATATCTAGTCTATTTGGTGCACAGGCACATTTCTTTCGGATGGTGATTTATTATAGGCTTTTGGAAGACTGACTCGTTGGTCGAGTGGTCGCAAGTGCGACTGCCGGGCAAGGGTTCGATATCCGATTCGAGCAAAGTATTACCGGTTTTTTTTTAATTCTCATTAGGTACTAGGTATAGTACCACGGTGTTTGGAATTGTGCCCGGTAGATGGCAATGGGCTCACCCCCTACCCCTATTACATGGGATTCATAACGTAAACAGTGAAAAGTGGGTGTTACATCGTACAGTGGCATTAAATGCCGTAATGTGCCCCCCTGCCTTTTTTAATGGGATAAGCCGGTAAAAGAGCAGACGGATCACCTGATGGTAAGCAATCGGCGTCGCTCATGGACACCTGGAACACCAAAGGCGTTACAAGTGCGTTACCGGCCTTTTGAGGATTAAGAGTTTGAGGATGGTTGGCGATTCAGGGATTAGGGAAGGTGGGGGGAGGGGTTGGGCCTCCGGTAACCTTACTCACGCAACGAAACACCACGTTGCTTCACATCGGCATTCTGTGAGGCCGTGGTACCACAGATCACAGTAACTAAACAAAACTCTCACAAAAAGCAAAATTTAACGATAAACAATCACACCATGATAACGAATCATACATTTCTTCAGTTCACGTTGTTTCGAGCACTTCACTATTTCTGCTTACCTACTTAATGTTCGCATAAGATTCAGTTTGAAACATTAGCAATTACTTATAAACATGTTGACTACATAATCAAATGCTTTATTTTACTAACCATCAGCTCTTGGGTTACTCTAAGCTAAGACAAATACATATATGAAAACGATGGTGGCCTTATTTTGTGTAGACTTCATAGTAGTTTCACGTAGATACTGCAAGCTAGTTTTCGCAGGTTTTTAACAAATAAAAACTGTGTTAGTATTGGTATCGATCTGGTGCGAACGCTACTCAGTCTGCAGCGCGCGGAGGAGGGGAAAGCCACAGTAGGAGCGGGGCGCGGGCCGCGGGGCGCGGGGTACCGACTTACTTCAAGGTCGCCGTCTGTTTATACACCACCTCTCTCGCTCACGGCACACGCCGCCATACCTCGAGGTTACACATTACACTCCATTCATAGAAATTGAAACGCTAACATCTAAATAATATTTTCACCAAAACCATGACAGTCTGGGTATAAGTGACTTTACAGACAAAAGTTCGGGTCAGTTGATCTGAAGTCATACATATTAATTACTTGTTACCGACTTCAAAAAGGAGGAAGTACCTACTATATTCGAATGATATTTTTTTATGTATATGTATATATCACCGTTTTTACTCCATAGTTTGTAGACCGACTTTCAAAAATCTTTTTGAAACGTTTGAAATGTTACACTTCCGAGGTGGTCCCATTATCACCAGGTCAGGATCTGATGATGGAATCCCAAGGAAACCGACGGGAACTTTTGAAAGTCATAGGAAGCACTAGTGCGTTTGTTAATATTTACGATATGTATTTTAAACCAGTACAATTTGAAATAGGTCTGGAGTCGATCTGATGATGGAGCCGAAAGACAGTCGTGGGAACTCCTCAAAAGTTTATAGTAACTACCTTGTGTTTGGGCTTGTATAATTTGTATTGATTAGAACTGTGCACCTGTGTGGATTATCAAGTGGCAAAAGGGGATTATGTAGCTTTACCTCCACAAAAAATGAAAAAAATAACGATGAAAACTGCGTTTAAAAAACAGACTTCAAAAACCCAAAACCTAAAAACTAAAAAGGAAAAAATAACTATCATTAGTACTGATAGGTTGGTTACCCACCCATTGATTGGTTAGAAATCGGTGCCATAAGCTCATATCAAAATGATATAACTTAATGATCACAAAATTGTCAACAGCTTAATAATTATTAGATATCTATTACGGAACTACGGGACCAACTAAGAGAAAACAAGTAATGCATAGAAAATATTTTTTATGTAGGTACTTACTCAAACGGTTCTAATGAGCTATATCCTACCAATCAAGCCTTTATGTTGGATGGAGGTAGTTGTGGAAAAAATAGGATTATATTACATATTGTACGGGCCCAGGATTAAGGGTGTGTACCAAAATTTCAGTTCGGTTGTTGCGTAATGTGTAGCAGGTTCAATTACAACACGGAATATTTTTTTGTGTGATCCCAAAATTATTGTTTCGGGTCTGAGTGGCATGTGCATGTGAAATTGTATGTTTATAAATGCACCCAGGACACAAAAGGAAAACAAAGTGTGGGGCAAGACCCTGTTTAAAAAAATTGCAATTACTAAATGACAATGACCAAATTTGTATGGAGCGTGGTGCCTTTTCATTTTTTCGCGGCTGTTGATCGATGTGGAAAAAGTGATGCAGAATAACATATATGGGGTTTCATATCAAAAACACAGTCCCAACCGAGTTAAATCAGTTCAAAGATGTGAAAATAGTCTTATACTATTCCTGTTATTTTGTTGATAGTGAGTTAGTGACCATTACAACGCATATTTCTTCATTTACTTGTCACAAATATTTTGTAATAAATGTTTATAAACGATTTCAGGGAATATAATAAAGCTTATTGTGAACTTTTTAACTTATATTTTATGTTTTTTAGTTCATTTTTTGTTATAAGGCCACGTAATCAGAATAGAGTGAACCACTAACTGGCCACTGCTGAAGTAAAAAAAACATTGCGCTTTTGTTTGTGGCCTATGACAGATTTTCATGATCAATTTCCTCTCAGTCGAAAACCCGCAAAATACTTTACTGATCCCTATCATGAAATGCTCTGTTTGTCAGCTACGGCGTCGGTAGCGGGTTGAGTAGCGGCAGTCGTCAAAACACGAAAAGAAAATTTTTTTGTTCACTTCTCACGACTTACTCCCAATTTGTAACTAATCTAACTACAGTTAATACTCTAATCTAAAGCTAGCATAAGATTCTGTATAAAGATATCGTCATTCAGCCACAAAGTGATGGATTATATTTTGACTGTTCACAATTCACATTATATGAAAAAAGTATGCGCTCATCTGAGTCCATCACTTTACAAAGTCGACGGTTTCCTTTCTTCAAAAGATTATTCTAACTATAAAATAGATGAGTCTCCCACCAGGGTGCTTACTCTTGAATCCAATTCCGATCGATCGACATTGACATTGTGAAATTTTGTACTCTTGACTTGTAACACTAGCGCCTATTGCATGCGTATTGCCTGGATATTTCATGAACTATATGGTATTGAGTTCGGTTTTATATTCCGTACTCTAAATGCTACTTTAGGAGCTACGATAGGGGTTGTATAGTTTTGACATTGGATAATTATTGAGATTTTATTGGATTGAAATTGCATTGACATTGACATTGGTTTCGAGAGTAAGCACCCTGGAGTCAGCGCCAAAATAATAATACTTTATTAGATGTTTGGGCGGCTACCACTACTCAACCCACCACTAGTACCAAATCTGACGCTCATGAAGCTTCATGACATAACTCCTAGAAGCTTCAACCCACAAGTTATCGACGGAGAGAAAATCCTTATCCTTACTTCCTTACTATATCCTTACTAATATTATAAATCGGAAAGTGAGTTTGTTTGTTCCACTTTCACGCCGTAACTACTAAACCGATTGCATTGAATTTTTGCAGACGTGAAGTTAGAATTCTGGATTAAATAATAGGGTACTTTTTATCCAAAAAAATGTTGATATTCTCGAGGGAAAACGAAATTATTGGTATAGATGGCACTGTGTGTATTGGTTCATGTCACATAGGCTAATTTTATCCTTTTGTGACGCGAGCGAAGCCGCGGATAAAAGCTAGTAATATTATAAATTATAAAATTTGAAATTATAAATAAATAAAATATATATAAATCTGAAAGTGAGTTTGTTTGTTTGTTCCGCTTTCACACCGTAATTCCTAAACCGATTGCTTTGAAATTTTGCAGACGTAAAGTTAGAAGTCCAGATTGAATAATAGGGTACTTTTTATCCCGGAAAAATGTGATATTCTCGAGGAAAAACAAAAATATTAGTATAGATGGCGCTGTGTGCATTCGTATAGATGGCGCTGTATGCCATTTAAAACAATTCAACGAATTACCTACTAATTGGAAATTTCACGCTTTAATCTATAGCGCTTATTTGGTGTTAATCTATAAATCTACACTTATTCAGTGCACTTTTCGACTGATTTATTTGCTGTTTTATAATATTTCATTTTTAAAAACGTGGTAACGTCGTGGTTTTTAAGTATTTTTCGCTTTTAAATTTTAGTTCCTACCATTT